TAAAAACAACCCTACATTCCAAAAGCATGCATAGCCTAAAAAGAGTAAAAATCCAAATTTGTCAGTTTCTAATTAAAGAAGCGTAGGGAAGAGAGAGAGAGAGAGAGAGCGCCCATATCTTGATGTGGCGTCAAAAAAGGTCGGTTGTATAAAGATTCCGTTTGCCTTGGGTCCTCGAACTTTTTCTTCATGCCAATTTAAGTGGGTAAAAAGAATGAGTGTATTCACAGTCAAATTATCGGTTCGATTTCTACAGTTTAATATTGTTTTATCATTGCATATTATTAAAAGATAATACTTTGGAAATATTAAAGACTGGGGACTGGGTTGGTTTATCTTGTGCAACGGAAGAAGAAGCTAGAACTCTATAGAACTGTGTACTCATAAGTGGAAAGTGGGAACCGGGAACCAACTGCCTTCTCTTTCAAAGGCGTTTTCAACTTCAAAATGGTTTTCAACTTCAAAATGTAATCTTTGGTACTTAAAATGCCATAAATTTATGATCTTTAACCAAAAGGATGCTTCCTTTCTGCCTTTATTAGGTTTTGTACCTTTAAAAAATGTGAAATCGAAGAAGTCTTCAGGTTTCCCCCTACTTTTTATTCATTGGCGACTGTAGAAAAATGCTCTTTTCTTCTTCTGCTGTAAATATTTTTTTAATGGGTTGTTTTTGTCTTGATCTTGGAGGAAGATTGAGTTTTGGCGACCAACGCAATAAATTAAAACCCATATTAAAGAATTAAATATTATGATTTACAAGTTTGAATTTTGTTTAAATTGATTGACAAGTAAGGAATTACTAAAGATTCCATGTTTTAGCTTTTGTTTGATGCAGTTAACAGGGCTGCATTCTTCATGAAACTTGCTGTTAGCAAATGGGTATTTGCATTTTCACTCTTTTGTTGGCTAATCTTCTCTGTAGGATTTTCAGGTATGCTTGAAGCTTCACTTTCTTTCCTTGGATTTCTTTTTGTTTTTTGGGAAAACAAATGCTTATTTTGTAGGAGACCCTAATTGTTAAAAAAATCTTCTCTTTTAATTTTGTAAGTGGATGGAGTGCATGGAGAATCTAAAGTGACAGAAGTGAACTTAGGAGGCTGGTTGGTTATCGAAGGTTGGATCAAACCTTCTCTTTTTGATGGCATTCCCAATGGAGATATGCTTGTCAGTGTTGATTTTTTTAAAATGATTTATAGATTTTTTTTTCTTTTTGTGAAGAATTCTAATTATATGTTAATGGATATTGAACTGTAGGATGGAACACAGGTTCAATTCAAGTCAGAGACATTGCAGAAATATGTTTCTGCAGAGAATGGCGGTGGGATGGACATTTCAGTCAACAGAGATGAAGCATCTTCATGGGAAACCTTTACTGTAAGGAGCCAAACAAAATTGTTGGTCTTTGTCTCTCAATTTGATCTTGTTTTGTTTATCAAACTTGAGCATGGTTGGCTCTTTGGACCGTCTGATCTTATTCTTGTGGATATTACACTAAGCGAAACCATTATCTAGTCTGTTTACCTAACAATCTGTAAGTCGAAAAGAAAAGCATTGCAGAGTTTCATGTCCTTTAGACTTTGTGATTAGTGTTTGTGCGAACCGTCATTCTTGTTTTGTCAATTGATATTGTAAGAGCCACATCTTGCTTTGACTTGTGCGTTTTCTCAGAAAAAGGAACTTCTTCCTCTGCAATCAAATTTGTTGTCTAAACAATTTTTGTCATGCAGCTATGGAGAGTTTCTGAATCAGAATTTCAGTTCCGCACCGCACAGGGCCAATTTCTAACATGTTACGGTAATGGATGCTCTGTATCTGCAACAGCAAAATCAGCTTCATCAACTGAAACATTTAAAATTGAAAGAAACAATAATGGTAAAGTTCACATCAAAATAAAGAGTGGAACCTATTTTCAGGTATGATACCAATTCTCTTCACATTTGTCTTGATGAATCTACAATAGCCGTTCATTATGTTGGAGGCAAATAATGGTGGACAGACAGCTTTTTGCCATTGCCTCTTAAATGATATGGTTAAAATATTTAAGCACGCAATAGTTTAGCCTGTGTCTTGTTCTCAACATTGCTGGTTAATCATAGGATTATTGCTTTTAGTGTGTGTGCGCTGCGCCAGGTTTAAGACAAACTTCTATGATCACAGTTTTACTACGGAAAATAAAACCATCAAATAGTAGCATGACCAAAATGCGTGCACCACTGTCCTATGGCATAGAACATTACTTAGTACTCCCTCCATCATATAATTTTTGTCTAATATTGACTATGCACATAGTTTTAGGAGATGTATTTGACCAAGGGAAATGACAAAACTATCCTTAAAAGGCGATTGATGGATTTGACAGATTTGTTTTTATAGGTGCAAAAGAGTGGGACATATAAGGGTAAAAAAAGAAATATAAGTGTTGTTGTTTGTTAACTTTTCTAATAAGACATTTTGAATGAGACAATTTTAAAAACCAAGATTTGAGCAACCTCCTTCAGCTCTTCTGCCGCTTTTATCCCGTGATGCTAGTGGTCCTCCTTATGTGCACTTAAATGTGTAAACTGGCTTCGGTCTCACTTTTGTATTAAAAAAAACTGATGAAAATGTTTTTATATTGTAGGCCACCATAGATAATCAGCTGACAGCAGATTATCCAGGAACACCAGGATGGGATGATAACGCAGCCACGTTTGAAATGTCAGTTGTAGCTAATAACTTGCATGGAGATTATCAGCTTGCAAAGGGATATGGACATAACAAGGCAAAACAAGTTCTAGAGGTAACATACAAACTTTTTTTGTTTCTTTTTCTTCATGGTGTGGTGTGGGGGGGGGGGGGGGGGGGAGAGTTGTGTGGAGGGATGTCTGAAACTTATTACATTCATCAGCCACTCTGAATCATGTCCAGTTGGTTATCATGTATCACTTTGCAAAAGTTAAAATGTTGAACATATTCTGATAAAGTTTCAATAACATAGTTTGGCTCCTGGATTCTCTGAAGAAACAAAGATGAAAACTGTTTTCAGTAAATAATGTATGTTGCTAACGTATCATCAGTTTTTATTTTCTTGCCTCCTCTTTTCACATGCATTGTTGTTCTCATTACACGGCCTATTATATTCTGTTAAGATATTCCCTAGATGTTGGACTAAAGGCATATCCCCAACGAGAGCATTTTAATAGCTAACTAGTAGTTTATCAAGGTAAAATTGTCAGATAATAATGTATTTGCAGATGAATAGTTCGTAACTTTGAGAGGCAAAAAACATAATTTTGCACTACGTTCATGTTCAATCTTTTGTTTTCGTAACATTCTTCTTCCTGAGTGAAACTGTAGAAGCATATAAATTCGTTTCTCAACGTAGGGGATTTTGATTTTCTATACAGACATGGAATAAATACTGTAAGGATCCCTGTTGGCTGGTGGATTGCTTACGATCCGGACCCTCCAGCCCCATTCATTGGAGGAACGTTAGAAGCTCTTGATAATGCATTCTATTGGGCAGAGCAAGTCTTTATTTCCTTTTGCTTTGTTAGTGTGCTATGATTTTATAAGCATTTCATTTAATAAGCATGTAATATTTTGATGCAGAGCCTACAGCATAAAGTGCATTATCGACCTTTATGCAGCACCTGGCTCCCAAAATGGAATGGAACATAGTGCTAGCCAAGATGGCACAACAGTCTGGCCTACATCTTCCAGTTAAATTTCACAGACATTGCATGTTATAGATTTTCTAGCTTCCAGGTAATTGCCAAAAGTTATCGGATTTGCATCTGAAATTGATATTTTACGAGAGTGGGGAGGGTTGAAAAGAAATGTTCTAGTGGTTCGTTTAAGACACCAGATTACAAAGGTGATGCGAAAACTGCTGAACAAATTTGATCAGCAGTGGTACTGGTTTGTTTTGCTAGGAAATTGCTCGTCAGTAATGTTAACTTGAAATTGAAGTTATCTGACATTTCTATTGCATCGTTGTGAAACGTCAATTCTTATCCTCGGACTCTTCAGGTTTTCGACCTTGTAAAGTTTAATTCCATTGGATCATCTTGTCTATTTCAGGTATGCGAAACATCCCTCCTTGTTGGGGATCGAACTATTAAACGAACCCTCTGCTGCAGAAGTTCCGTTGGATACATTAGTTTCATATTACAAACAAGGCTACGAAGCGTAAACACTCTCCATCGGCTTATGTGATAATCTGCCAAAGAATTGGCAATGCAGATCCTCTGGAACTTTATCAAGCTGATATAGGCTCCCACAACCTAGTGGTGGAATTGCATTACTACAATCTGTTCGACACATTCTTAGTTAACTCGAGTGCTATAGATAACATTGAATTCATACTTAAGAGCAGGGAGTCTCAGCCACAAGCTTTGAATGGAGTAAACGGCCCCCTCATTTTTATCGGTAACTAAACTCTATTTCCGCTGTTGCCAAGCTTTTTAGATAAACAAAATCTAGTTCTGCAAGTCTTTGATTTTTGATTCAGGTGAGTGGGTGAATGAGTGGAATGTTGCAAGTGCATCCGAGTCTGATTATCAAGAGTTTGGAAGGGAACAATTAGAGGTGTATAATGCAGCTTCCTTTGGCTGGGCTTATTGGACACTCAAAAATGATAGGAAGCACTGGGAATTCGAATGGAACATTGGGAACAATTATCTCCAATTAAGTAAACATTCTTAACACATCTCCATTTTGATTTCAAACATCATCGTAGGTTGTCCTTCACTTTGACATCCATTCATGCAGGTAATTCAGAGAATAAGAAAATTCCCAGCAGCCTATTATGGCTTGTAGTTGCATCAATTTGGTTCCATTATCGTTTCCAGTGAAGTTGCTTGAAACCCAGAGGTGAAAACGAAGATGGTGTGCAGCATTTTATTCCCCTTTTATTAAGCTCTTTGTTACTCCATTACATTCATATTTCGTAAATTATTCTTTGCATTTATTTTGTTTAAACAAGAAAACCCACTTCTCCAACTCAACCAAGAGCACAGTAAACAAACCAATTAATTGTAAATAGAGGGGTGCATTTTCACATAGGAATTTTAACAAACAGATGGATATCCAAATACACAATGAAACCTAAAACAGAGCGCCCAATGAAAAGGCTAAATCGAAGAGTAAAATTAAGCATATTGTTTTCAAGCTAAGCCCTCTCGCCCCTGATCCTACGAGCCAACTGAATATCCTTGGGCATAATAGTAACCCTCTTAGCGTGAATAGCGCACAAATTGGTATCTTCAAAAAGGCCCACCAAGTAAGCTTCAGCCGCCTCCTGGAGAGCCGCCACGGCGCTGCTTTGAAACCTCAGATCAGTCTTGAAATCCTGAGCAATTTCTCTTACCAACCTTTGGAACGGGAGCTTCCTGATCAGGAGTTCAGTGCTCTTCTGGTACTTCCGAATCTCACGCAAAGCCACGGTTCCTGGCCTGAATCTGTGTGGCTTCTTGACTCCGCCGGTAGCCGGAGCTGACTTCCGAGCAGCTTTCGTGGCAAGTTGCTTCCTTGGTGCCTTGCCTCCTGTGGATTTCCTGGCGGTTTGCTTCGTACGAGCCATTTGACTTGCGATTAAAGAAAATGAAATCCAATGTTTTCTTGTTTGCTTCTCTAGAAATCGAGAGGGAACTTTGGATTGTGAATGGGCAAAGGTTTGAGCAGGTTTTATAGAGGAGCTGAGAAGTGTGACATATTTGAATTGGAGGGAGAAAGAACATCCTTTTTACTTTTGGATCGTACGGTGGAGATGGGTTTTACGAGGATGGAATCCGCGTGAAGTGGAAAAGACCAATAGAATTTGTTCTCTGAGGCGCCAAATTTCCTTATTTTCACAATCTCCCTCTTTTACGAAATCTCTGAAATTTTTGGTACACTAATGCCGTATTTCGTGTTGTGTATGTAGAAGAGATCGCCGTTTTGAATATTCTGAACACCGAGCTGAAAATGTACTGAATTTAATTTATATCATTTCTCTATATATAAATATTTTAAGATAAAATACATAGTAGTCCCTGATTACATAATACATTTTATTGTCTATAATTATGAAAAAATATATAAAATAATTAAAAAACTAATAAATAGATCTATTATTTAAAATATTGATGATATATGATGATAATTAATTTAATAATAAATTTAATCTTCAATTTTTATATTCTATTTAATTTAATTTTAATTCTTAAAAGATAATCATTTATATTAAAATTCTATTAATTTAATTTTAAATTCTCAATCTCCATCTTTTATTCTAAAAAGAAAAATGACTCTTTAAGTAAATCATATTTTTCGTGAGAGAACCCTCGTCTTTTATTAATTCTTGAGTGCTCCTTAAGATTGACTCTGATTTCTCAAGCTGACTTGGCTTGTCTCGCTCTCTAATGGATTCTTGAATACGGATGGCACGGGAGTTGAATCCTACTAGTTTCGATTTCATTCGTTTCGATTGGATCGAGTTTTTTTTAAAAAAATTCTGATTAGATTGGGACTGTGTCGAGCTCAGATTTATGTGTCGAGGTCAGATTTAGGTTGAAAATATTTAACTTGAAAAATAATATAAATTTTTCTTATATATTTAGGGATAATTGTAATAATAACTCTCTATATATTATTTTTTTCAATTATATCTCTATTTTTATTGTACAAAAATAATATTTTTATAAATATATTTATTTTGGATCGGGGTCAGATTTTATCTCAAAATGTTGGGCCGTATTCGGGTTGGGTGAAGTCACCCTAACCTCAGATCAAGTAAAATTTCGGGTGAAATGTATAAATTTTCGAATCAAATCAAATAGTTCAAAAACCCTATCCAACCCAACCACTCTCATTTCTATTTTTAACTATCCAACAATATCTCATTGGTCCCGAAATTAATATTCTAATTCTTTATCGATTTTTCCTTTAATCACAGTAGTCGTTGTGCTCATCATTTTGCACATTTGTCTCTTAATCTTCTATGAATTTTTTTATAATTGAATGATTGTTATATAAAAAAACATATCACCTCTCAAATTCGGTCGTTCTATGGTCTAGCAAGCAGTTTTATATTCATTTTTATTTAAATCAATAGTTACCGATGTTATCTTGTCAGATTAGTCCCTGCCATTATTAATATTGTAAAAAAGAAAATTATTAACAAAAGAAAGTTATTAGAACCACCAACCACGTGATACATTCAATTAAAAATAAAATAATTAAAGTGATAAAATGAATATAATTTAAAAATTAAACCGTGCGTTAAATCCTAAAATAATCTATAATATTCGTTGGTGCATGGAAATATTTATGAATATTAAAGTACTCAGTCAAATTATATTAAAAAATGGAGGAGTTATCTGTCAAAGTGAAAAAATAATTTTTTTTAATCCTGTATCGAATCTTTCTGCTTTCCACAATTTGAAAAGAGAAAATTTAATTGCTGTTAATTGCACATGGCTTCAATCCTTGCCATGGTGTTTAGAACCGGCCCGATCAAAGAACTGGCCCGGTCAATGAATCGGTCGTGCTAGCGGTTCATTGATTTAATCGATTGAATCGATTAGATCGGTCGTAAGAACCAGATGATATTATAATTATTTACAAAATTAAATAAAAATACTAAAAATATTTAATAAAAAATCAAAAAAAATTAGGTTGAACCGGTTTACGGTCCAGTCCGGTTTGAGCAGTTCAAAGCCGGTTCAAATTGTTCTTTGCAGTTCACTATAACCGATTCAACCGGAGTAGAATGGACCGGATAAGACAGCGATTCCCGATTAAACCGGTTGAACCGACCGGTCCGATCTAATTTTTAAAACACTGATCCTTGCCATTTGCCAACGATAATAATTTTTATAATTTAATTGTTGAGAGTTTCTTTCAATAAAGTCATAAAGGAGATCACTCAACAATATTAATCAAATATAAATTAAAAACATTTTGCACTTAAATTAATATTTTTACGTACTTGTTTCCTGCAAAATTTCAACAACAACAAAATAAATAAATAAATAAAACGATTTTTTATTTTAAATGTATTTAGAGAGGTAAATATAAGATTTTAGGCTGAGGAGAAAATTAAATATATAGATATATAAATTAAGAGTATGAAACTATAAAATTTTAGGATACAAAATTAAATCATAAAAATGTTAAAAATATTTAAATTGCACAAAATTTAAACTATTTAGAAATACGACCATCGTCCACTGGATTTGCAAACTAACATGTGATTGTTAGTTTATGCCATAGTTATATTTTTTAGGTTAACTGATTGAACTATTAAAATTAAATTAAATGATTTTAGTTAACTAAACTGTTAAAAGTGACAATTAATAATTATAGAGTTTGATATGTTTGATAAATTACCGAAATGGAAATGGAAATGGTTATGTCAATTTCCCAGAGAAGAGTGACAAAGGAACCCCATCAGGTAAGATGAATGAAACCTCAGACGGGCGGAGCTACGTGTACTTGTAGTTGTAAGGGGCCACTGCCCAACCCCCCAAATTTTTTTTATTATTACGAATTATATTGGGATAAATACCTATTTATTCCTTTAAGTTTTGATTTATTTTGATTTGACCCCCATTTTTATTATTAATTATACTTTGTCCCCTATTCTTTGTTGTTAATTATACTTTGCCTCCATTGAACTAGAATCTTGGCTCCGTAGGACGTTTGGATTCTTAACACGGACGGGGCATGCAAAACTACGGGATTGACATTAACAAAAGGACTAATCTGAGATGAAAACATAGACTAAATAAGTGAATTTACGATACATTTAGGGAAAACAACAATGCGATCGCAGAGATTTGGAGAGCTCAAGAGGGGGTTATCTTAGCGAAAATCCTTGACGCGATCAAACTGAATTTAGAAATGGACGCCAAGTGGGTGGCGGACGTTTTTAATGGAGAGCCATCAGAGGAACGGTCATGTAATGTACTCGTAAACGATTGTTAGAGGCTGTTAAGCAGTTAATTGGTTAAGGATAACCGACTGTACAGCTGTGTATTGCAGCCTATAAATTGCTGCTCAACTTGTGTAAATATAATTCATTCATGTGCATAGTAAAATTCTCTCTTCTGCTATTTTTCTTGTTAAGTTTCTTCCATAGTTAACATGGTATCATTCGCCATTAGGTCCTGAATAAGCTTTTGCTATGCGCCGTTCTTTCGTCTTTCTTGTCTTTCTGGTTCTTGGCTACTTTCGAAGAGAAGTCATGGTGCAAGGCTTGATGATGACAGCTGAGGATGAGCAACCAACTGAGGCAAGCTCTCATACCTTTGCCAATAAAAGAGTCAATGTCTGCCTAACCGACTCAAACTATCTTCTTTGTAAGCAACAAGTAATTCTCACAATCAGAGGACTCGGACTCGAAGGCTTTCTTGATGATTCCATGGTGGTTCCAACAAAACTAACGATTAATGATGCTGGTGAACAGGTTGTTAATCCAGCTTATCTACGGTATGTCAAGCAAGATAGTTCCTTGGCTTCTTTCCACCGTTAGCACCAACATTCTTCCTCAATTGGTTGGTGCTGAATCTACGGCTGCTGTCTGGAGTGCCATCACCAGACTGTATTCGAAATTATCCACCACAAAAATAATGGCCTTGCATTGTCTCCTTAGATCAATGAAGAAAGGCTCTCAATCTATGAGAGATTACACCATGGCCATTAAAGAAATTTGTGATCTTTTTGCCACGTGTGGCAACCCTATCTCAAACATTGATCACATCACCACCATCCTTAATGGTCTTCCAGCCGAGTATGAGCCAACAGTGGCTGCGATTACTGCGAGCAGAGAACCATTTGCTCTCGACAGTGTGGTATCGGTTCTCATTGATGCTGAGTCTCGCCTTGATGACTCCTCAAGATTCCCAGTAGGGGTCAATTTCACTCGTTACAACACCAATCAGGGCTCGGATTCTCAACAATACAAGAATTATGGGCCTGTAAAGTCTAACAATACTGCTAGTAACAAGTATAAGGGGAGACCCAAACAACAATGTCAATTATGTGAAAAGTTAGGTCATCTAGTTGACAGGTGCTGGCACAGGTTTGACCAGAACTTCAAAGGAGTAACTGCTCAACAAAGCTCATCGTCTAATGACATGCAGGCGAACATGTGCTCATGTTATCCTCATACAACCGACTGTCATTACAGTCCCTTTACAAACACCAATACAGAAGATGAAGATTCAGCTGACTCCGAGCCACATGACAATGCACAGGTCAATGCATTAATGGCCAATGGTCCCCTGAACTATGCTAAATGGTTTCCAGATTCAGGAGCCACCCACCATGTAACTGGATCTGCTTCTGCACTCTCGAGCAAACAAACCTACACTGGCAGTGGTAAGGTGCATCTAGGAGATGGTTCCACTGTTTCAATTACACACATTGGTACAAATATTTTAAAAACTGACTCTAGGGATCTCCTTCTTGATCACATTCTGCATGTTCCAAACATCAATAAAAATCTCTTTTCAGTTTCGAGATTCACTCAAGCTAATTCAGTTTTCTTTGAGTTTCACAAAAATGCTTGTTATGTTAAGGATGAGAGTACAGGAATCGTGCTGGTAGAAGGGAAGCTTGATGGAGGACTCTATAGCTTTGACTGTCAAACCATGCATGACACAACAACTCTAAACAACACTGTTGTAAAA